AGACAAGATAGAAGATTAGGAAGACTTCCCATAGATCCCCTTTAGTATCCCGTATCTCTATCTAGCTTGTTAGTTCATATTTATAGTTCAATAAAGTCTGCATTCAATAAAATCCAAGTGTTGTCAGCAAATGGTCTCATTTACACCTTAACTTGGGCAGAGGCATCTCTCCCTGATGGGATTGGAACATACAGGCAGGGACACCTTCCACGATTCCAGGTTCTCCAAGTCCCATCCAACCTGGCCTGGGACACTTCCAGGGATCCAGGGGCAGCCACAGCTTCTCTGCCCAACCTGGGCCAGGGCCTGCCCACCCTCACAGGGAAGACTTTCTTCCCAATATCCCATCTAACCCTTCTTTTTGTCAGTTTTAAGCCATTTCCCCTTGTCCTGTCACTCCAAGCGCTTGTGAAAAGCCTCTCCCCATGGATGGCTCAAACAGCGGACACTGGCACTTCAAACCAGTGTAAGAAGCTGGAAAATTGCAGTGCAAAGAAATCATCTGGAACCACAATTAATCCTCTGTCACTCACTGGACTTGGAGCAGGTTCCTGATAAATGATGCACGGGAAGTGCATGAAAACAGGAGGAAATCTGATTTCACTGCCTGTGTGATGTAATGCCGCCCCAACAAGAAGCGATGCTTTTACACACGTGTGTGCACTCGTCTGAAGCCCGTGAACCCTCAGTATCACACTGATTATTTGCACCCAGCTGTTGCTTTTCTCCTGCTGTTGCTCATTTGAGCAAAATAAACCAAAGGAAACGAGAAAACAATTTTAAAACACGAAAAACCACTGACGAAACTGCAAAAAAAAGTGTTGTTTTTTTTTTTCTTACAGTATAGTTTTTCTTAAATCTTTTGCCAGTAGATATGTTGATGATGCAGCCCCCGGAGGAGCCCCCTGGAGCAGGGGGATGTCCAAAGGAGGCTGTGAGCCCTGGGGAAGCCCAGCCTGCAGCAGGGGCCTGGCAGGACCTGTGGATCCGTGCAGAGAGGAGCCCACGCTGGAGCAGGTTTGGTGGCAGGACTGGTGACCCCCCGGGGGATACACAGGGGAGCAGTTCCTGAAGGACTAAGCCCATGGAAGGGACCCACGCTGGATCGATGCCTTAAGGACTGATCCTGTGGAAGGACTTGAGCAGGAGAAGTTCATGGAGAGCTGAGGAGAATAAGAAGAGAGAAAGATACGAGAAATGGAGAGCTGTCTACGCCAAATACTAAAAGGACTTGATACGGATTAATTGACTTTGCACGTTTTGGACAGTTTAAAATTATGTTTGGGGTTGTATTTTAGTTATATCAATTATATTTTATTGGAATATGTTATTCCCCTCATGAATTTGCTCTCCACTGATTGGCTGAGATTTCCTCTTCTCTGATAGGTTGAAATTTGCCGCCTATGGGCGGTATGGTTAATACTGTCAGTTCATGTGATTGGCTGGTGGTTACGTCATACATTTTGTGATTTCCCTATTGGTTGTACCCTCGTGTCAATCCTGAAACTCCTCCCAAGTTCTAGTCCCTTCTACCCCAGACCCTATAAAAGGCCTGTCCTCCCCTCAGTCAGGGGATAACACCCTTCATCTACCATCAGTAAAACCTGCGACAGAGTGAAGAACCCCTTGTGTTGTCCATGCCTTGTCCTTCACCTGGGCTGCGACATATGGCGCCCAGACACGCGGCTCCGTTGTAGGTTCCTCACATTGAGGGAACTCCAGAGTACTCTTCTGGGATACAGAAGACCCAGGCGTTTGGTGTTCTCCCCGGCAGCCACTCCCAGCTGGATGGCGGGCAGTGACAGGATGCTGCCACTTCCCTTCGCACCTGCTACTGCTGGCAGGAGAAGGTGAGCGGCTGGGGTAGCCCTAATTCCTTCCCTTTCTCCAGTACCCCGTAGACATTGATAAATATGGGAGCTCGCCCTTCAAGGGAAGAAGCTGCGATGTATGAATATTTGAAGAATTTAATCAGAAAAAATTACTATCCCTTAGGCAAAAGCTCCCTCAAAGCTTTAATCAAATGGAGTTATAAGAATATAGATCCTGTTCCAGAAATCATAACATACTTGGAATGGGCAAAAATTGGATCTGCGCTAGCAAATGCTACCTTTGCTGGAGACAGTCACGCTGTAAAAACTTTAAAAGCTTGGAAAACAGTTTTTATAATATTTAAAGAGACTGTAAAACAACAATCACTGACAGAAGAAAATCCAGAAACAACTGTTAAACTGTACCACAACCAGAAAAATGAAAGTGACTGTTCTCAAGCTTCTAATATCAATGCCCGGGCGGTGACAGAGAACTGTCTCCCATGAGAGGAACCCCACGCTGGAGCAGGGAAAGGACTCTTCGCTCTGAACAGATGTCTGATGAAGTGACCATGAAACCCACTCCCCTTTCCCATTTAGCCACAGTTGATTTATTGATTTATTAATTCTTTATTGTGCATTTTGAACCCCGTGTACAACCGGACAGTGAGATGATAAAAATTAGTCTTCTCTCCCAAATCGACTAAAAAGCTAGGGATAAAACACGGAGGCTTTTGTTCTGTTTGGGACAGAAGAGTAAACCCTGTGTGTTGGGTCTCACAGGTGGCACAGCTGGAACCAGGTGGCAGCGTCTCCGCAGGTGCTTTTGGCGCCGGTGCAGCCGTGCGGGGACTTTGCCACAGCCGCCCCCCGCGCTCGGGGCTGGTTTGCGAAGGGCTCGGGCAGTCCCTTTGTGTGTGTGAG